TACTGGTTTTCGTTTCTATGTGTAGTGCCTCTTTCAGGAGCTCTTATAAAGCAGGCCTGGTGGTGACAAAATCTCTGAGTACTTGCTTGTTCTCAAAGGAGTTTATTTTTCCTTCACTTCTGAAGCTCAGTTTGGCTGGATATGAAATTCTAGGTTGAAAGTTCTTTTCGTTAAGGATGTTGAATATTGGCCCCCACTCTCTTCTGGCTTGTAGGGTTTCTGCCGAGAGATTTGCTGTGAGTCTGATGGGCTTCCCTTTGTGGGTGACCCGACCTTTCTCTGTGGCTGCCCTTAGTATTTTCTCCTTTATTTCAGCCTTGTTGAATCTGACAATTATGTGCCTTGGGGTTGCTCTTCTTGTGGAATATCTCTGTGGTGTTCTCTGTATTTCCTGCATTTGAGTGTTGGCCTGTCTTGCTAGGTGGGGGAAATTTTCCTGGATAATGTCCTGAAGAGTATTTTCCAGCTTGGATTCATTCTCTTCCTCACATTCTGGTACACCTATCAAATGTAGGTTAAGTCTCTTCACATAGTCCCACATTTCTTGGAGACTTTGTTCATTCCTTTTTGCACTTTTTTCTCTGATCTTGGTTTCTCGTTTTATTTTATTGAGTTGATCTTGGACTTCAGATATTCTTTCTTCTGCTTGGTCAGTTTGGCTGTTGAAACTTGTGCATGCTTCGTGAAGTTCTCGTATTGTGTTTTTCAGGTCTTTTAATTCATTCATATTCCTCTCTAAGTTATCCATTCTTGCTATCATTTCCTCGAATCTTTTTTCAAATCTTTTTTCAAGGTTCTTAGTTTCTTTGCATTGATTTAATACATGTTCTTTTAGCTCACAAAAGTTTCTCATTATCCACCTTCTGAAGTCTAATTTCGTCATTTCATCACAGTCATTCTTTGTCCAGCTTTGTTCCCTTGCTGGTGAGGAGTTTCGTCCTTTCTAGGAGGTGAGGTGTTCTGGTTTCGGGTGTTTTCCTCCTTTTTGCGCTGGTTTCTTCCCATCTTTGTGGATTTATCCACCTGTCGTCTGTGTAGTTGCTGACTTTTCGATTGGGTCTCTGAGTGGACGCCCAGATTGTTGATGATGAAGTATGTCTGTTACTTGGTTTTCCTTCTACCAGTCTAGCCCCTCCGCTGTACGACTGCTGAGTTCCACTCCAGGCCCTGCTTGTCTGGGGTACACCTATAGCAGCTGCGGAACAGTGAGGGATGCTACCAGTTTCTTTTTCTGCTGTCTTTGTCCCAGAATGATACCTGCCAAATGTCAGTCTTTTGGATATAGAGGGGTCAGGGAGCTGCTTGAGGAGACAGTTTGTACTTTGTAGGAGCTCAATTGCTGAGCTGTGAGCTCTGTTGTTCATTCAGGGCTATTAGGCTGCTACGTTTAATTCTGCTGCAGCAGAACTCATAAAAAAAAACCCTTTTTTTCTCAGATGCTCTGTCTCAGGGGGGTTGGGGCTTACTTTGTGAGTGTCCATTTTGCTGTCCTGCCCAGCTAGGAGGCAGTCTTGTCACTATTTGCCTGCCAAGGCTCCACCCTGTTGGTGTGAGGTTTGCCCTGTTTCTGCAGGCTCTGCCCTGCTGCTGCGGTCTCTGCCCTGCTGCCATGGGCTACGCCCTGCGGTGGAGTCTCTCTGTTGTAGCGGATTACCTCAGCAACAGCAGGCTGCGTCAGCAATGGGCGTGTACCCCAGTAGGGGCGGATTGCCTCGGTTGGCGGATGCCCCTCCCCCATGGAGCTGCACCGCCCTGGGTTCAGCTGTGCCCTCAGGGAACCTCTCTACCTGGAGTGTTTGGAATTGTCGTTTTGTTTGTCCCACTGTGCTACCCCAAACGCTGTTTCCCTGAAATTTCCTGGCCTGGCTCACTGTCCAAGTCCCATTCAGTCTCAAGTTCAGCCCTCTCAAGTCTCAGATTGCTGGCTCTACAGGGTACCCGGACCAGTGCGCTTTGTGCGGAGTGCTGTGTAGCGCCGCTGTGCTACAGCGCTGGCTGCCGGCTGCACCGGCTGCCGGCTGCACCAGCCAAGGCTCTGCCTGGTGTCCCACGTCTCTTTTATACCTGGGAATTTCCCCATTCTGTGGGCAACAAAGATTCGTCTGGAAATGCAGCCCCGACTCACCCTCTCTGCGCATTCACCAATAGCTTCATTCCTGGGTTGTTCTCACTGCGCCATCTTGAGTCCCCCTGGAAATCTCTTTCTTAGCCACCCAGATTCTTTTCTCAGAGACAACCATAAGTACTACTTTTAAAAATGATTCTGGGCTGGGCACTGTGACTCATGCCTATAATCCCAGCACTCTGGGAGGCTCAGGCAGGTGGATCACTTGAAATCAGGAGTTCAAGACCAGCCTGGCCAACAGGGTGAAACTCCTTCTCTACTAAAAATACAAAAATTAGTCAGGCATGGTGACCTCATTAGTCCCAGCTACTCAGGAGGCTGAGACAGGAGAATCGCTTGAACTTGGGAGGTGGAGGTTGAAGTGAACCGAGATTACACCACTGCACTCCTGCCTGGGCGACAGAGCGAGACTCAGTCTTAAAAGAAAAAAAAATGATTTTGTGTAGAGATTCTCTGCACTTACAAATAGGTACACACACACACATGCATGCGTGCACACACACAAACGTTTCACACATACCAGCAGCATATTAGCCATATTAAGCATATTGTCACCCACTTCCCTTTTTGCTTTTAGCTGAACAAGATAACTTAGATATCTTTTCATTAATGAAGAGCCTCATTCTATTTAAAGTCTGTGTGGATGAATCCTAGCAGATTTTTCTGTTGATAACGTGCTATAATCAATTTAACTACTTAACACTTATTTTAGAAACTAGATATTGCCTAGGGGAAACACTGGGGATACACTGGTGAGGACAAAAAAAAAAAAAAAGAGACGTTTAGTCCCTTCGTGGACCTTAAATTCTATGAGATGGACACATTAATGAAAGACCAACTCAAATAAAAGTGAATCATAATTGTGATAAGTGCTGGGATGAACGTGATAGAGAATTGTTATAGTCAGGGAGGTAAAGGACAGTTTTTCTGAGAAAGTGATAATTGAGCTGACATCTAACCAAAGAATGATTAATTTTACATATTTTACAGATGTAAGTTTGTCATATAATATCTATTCTTCAATTTTTTTCCTGTATCTATAAACATACCTTTCACATTAACTTTTAAATGTGCTTAAGTGTCTCATATTAAACAAAAACAAAACTCTTCTCTGACCTTTCCCTGCTTTCCAACTACCCTTTATCTCACCTTCCTTCTTACCAAGAAAGAGTTGTCTAAACTTCCTGTTTCTATTTACATATCTCTCACTCAAGAAAAAAATTCAGGCTTACTTCTTTAATCTATTCCAGTCTATGTTATAATTATAACACAGTGAAACATTTCACCCAGGTCACCAATGGCTTCTAAACCCAGGAGACACTTTTTAGTCTCCATTTTGCTTCGCTATTCTGCCGTATTGGGCATGATATGACAGCTGTCTTCTTGAATTTCTTGAAATGTTCCCTTATCTTGGTTTTATTTTTTCTTTTCTTTTCTTTTTTTTTTTTTGAGACAGAGTTTTGCTCTTGTTACCCAGGCTGGAGTGCAATGGTGCGATCTCGGCTCACCGCAACCTCTGCCTCCTGGGTTCAGGCAATTCTCCTGCCTCAGCCTCCCTAGTAGCTGGGATTACAGGCACGAGCCACCATGCCCAGCTAATTTTTTATATTTTTAGTAGTGACGGGGTTTCACCATGTTGACCAGGATGGTCTTGACCTTTTGACCTCGTGATCCACCCGCCTCGGCCTCCCAAAGTGCTGGGATTACAGGCTTGAGCCACTGCGCCTGGCCTATCTTGGTTTTCATGACATTATTCCCCTTCTGTTTTTCTTCTTCTTTTTTTAGTTTTCTTTGCTGACTTCTTTTTTAGTCATTAAATTGCTGGAGTTCCTTAAGACTTGTCCTAGGTTCTTTTCATTTCCCATGAAACAATTTAAGGCAAGTTTCAGACAGTATCTATAGATGATTCCCAAACCTATAGCTGACCCTACTTCTAAGATGTATACTAATTATATTCAGCCACCTCCCATATTTTTCTACTTTATTTGTCATTTGTTTATTCAGATATATTTATTTGTGACCCATTATTTGACAGGCATTGTGCTGGTGCAGAGTGTCTTACGTATCTCTAATGAAATATGATTAAAACAGAATTCATGATTGATATCTCCTGCCAAAACAAGCAAGCGGGTAAATAGACAAAAATAGCCAAAACAAGGCCCTCTTTCCCATCATTGTTCTGATTCAACTACTGAAATCCATCCAGTTCATCTAACTTAAAACCTTGGGGTCAGTCTCAACTCTTCTTTATATGAGTACTTCCCTTTTCCTCATCCAATCCAATCCAGTTCAGTCCATTCCAATCAGTGTGATCTAACCTACTGCAGTTTTCCTAAGTGTGGTTATTCTACCTTCTAAGTCTCTGTCCAGTGCTTCCATTCTCTACCCCTACTTCCCCTTTCACTGTTAATACCCTAGACCAAGCTACTATCATTTGACTGCTGCAGTAACTTCAAATTGATCTTAACTGTCTTCACTTTTGACTGCCATTTGGCGACTTGCCATATGACTGCAGTCATGATGTTTTAAGTGTTCCATAATTCCTCTGTCTCAGTTTTCTTATCTGTAAAATTGGGATAAGAATAGCCTTTCCATCATAGGGTTATTGTAAGGATAAAATGAGTTATTATATATAAAATACTTAGAACAGTGCCAGGCACTAAGTCCTCAGTAAATTGTTAATAATACCTTGTACAGTGTTACATTAAGCCAAGTAAAAGGTATGATTAAGAGAGAAAGATGGTTTATTAATAATAGATTTGAATGGAATCATTATATTGTTTAAACTTAATTGTGTTATATGTGTTCACACTAAAAACCTGCAGCTCTTTTAATACGTGACCTTATTATGTGTAATTTTTTTCATAATTAAAAGGCTAAGAAGCACCAGGCCTTCCTAGTAGAGACATGTGAAAATAATGTGAAAGAATTGGAATCGATCTTGGACAGCTTTACTGTGTCGGGCCAGTGGACATCAGGTTAGTTGAAGGTATAAAATGACAGATGCATCTGTCAATGTTCCAAAGTCACTACATTTTGGGAATTCTGCAGATGCCTCTTATAGTCCCTCATCTCAACATGTTTTGATTTGATGACATGATAAGAGCAGTTCTCACAGCAGTCAGTTGGCCTAGCTGGCTGAGAAAGGGTGACGGAATGTGGACCTGCTGTTGTCCTCCCAGAACTTGATTTACAAGTGTTGGGGTCTGTGTGATTGGACAGACAAGGGCTCACTTGCTGTGTTCTGAATCCAACTGAGAAAAAAGTCCTTACAGTATACCTGCAAGGGGAACAGATGTTTCGATCAAACTGAGCCAAATTCTGAGGCAACCTTCAGCAACTTAAAGGTCATGCATTTAAAAGGTTATGTAGGACACAGGCTGTAGCATAGTGCATGTTCTATACTTTCCAAGCCAGTTTTCTAAGCTGGTTTTCATTTCATACTGTCATATATATATATACTGTCCAGATAAAAATGCTTAGATAAAATATTTTAGTTGTAGTTTTAGCGCACTTCATATGATAAAGAGCTATAGAATTATATATTAATTAGGTAGATATATTTTGAGAACTAGCAAAAGCAATGGTTGGCTAATGAATTCTGTTCATTATTTCCACTTTCTTAGTGTTTTGTGTATATGTTATTATGTGTGTTATAGTAGCTTTGAAATAAATACTTTTACTTTTCTAGCTCAGTTTTCTTTTGTCATTTGTTCATTCAAATATATTTATTTGCGACCTGTTATTTGACAGGCATTGTGCTGGTGCAGAGTATCTTATATATCTCTAATGAAATATGATTAAAGCAGAATTCATGATTGACACCTCCTGCCAAAAACAAGCAAGCGAGTAAACAAACAAAAATAGTCAAAAAAGGTCCTGTCTCCCGTCATTGTTCTGTTTCAACTACTGAAATCCATGTCAGCTTTGAATTATTTGGTGGTCTTCTAACACATAGTTCTGTTCTTCAAAAGACACATAAAATTAAATTTCTCACTCAAAAATTGAGCTGCAGGATTTAAAAAAAAATTCTTTTTAAAAGAATCTAACAGCAATTTGGCAAATAAGTTCTTTAGAGAGCTCTTCAATTCAGGAAGTTTGTTGTCCTTGAAAACTTGGAAGGACCTCATCAAGGCTAGTATTTTACCTTGTGGATCTGTAGATTTCTCAGTTGGTAATCTGTTAGAAATGTAGTGTGCTGTGCTATTGTCTATGTTTTAAGTCTCTGTGTTTTTGGCTTTTATGGAATTAATGTATAAATATCTTTGTTTTTATTTAAACTTTTCCCAAAAGCATTAGTGTTCATAATTTGTTATCATGGACAAATCAAAGGATATAAAAGTGTCACAAAAATAGATATAGGTTTCCAGTTTCAATTATATTTGTTAGAGCTTTGGAGGAGAAAATTTTCCTTTGCACTGGTATGTTTTTATTATTGAGATGTATCAGTGCTGTTTCATGGTATTAGGATCTTTACAAATTATTAAATATTGTCACAGTATATCATATGCCTCAATATTATTTTATTTTATTTATTTATTTATTTATTTATTTATTTTTATTTTTTCAATATTATTTTAAATATTTCCTCAGAGTTGAATTACAAAAGCTAAGAATAATGTGATCATGTCTCCTTTGAGTTTTCAAGTAAAATAGTTGGTAACAAAGCAACTTATTAGTTATTACTAAGCCTACAGAGTTTTGTATTAAAATTTTTTATTTTTATTCTTTAGTAACCATCCTTTTTATCTTACTAATTTTCTGTACAGATGCATACTTTGTATATTACAGGGAATGTGTTCCCGGAAAGGACTGCACTGAATTTGTGCTTTTTTGGATTGTGACAGAATGGTGATGTTTACATCTTGTGCGGGTTTTTCTCTCTTTTATACCTTTCTCCCCTCACTGATCCATTCTCCTCTGCTCTCTGTTTTTCTGTGTGCCTTGGGAGCCTGACTTCTGTGGAACTGGGTTACTTTGCCTTCTGGCTTCTGATTGGGTTTGGACAGTAGGTGTACCCACAGGAGATTAAGGTGGTGAGAGAAGAAAGCAGTCAAGGTATTTATTTCCTCTGCTCCATTGCATTTTTGACAGTGGCTTCATTTTTCAACAGCCACAGTGCCTGTTGGGAGGACCCTCTTTTCATGACTGTGGCTCTTGTTGGACTATTCTCTCCACTTAACCTTTTAAGCTAAGGCATAATATTCGTTTTCCACTCTTGCTTGCTCTTGGTACCTCATCATACTTTTTTGGGTTTGTTAACCTGTACACATTTCTTATAGTCTCTTTGTTAAATTCTCTTGCTGATGACCTCTTATTTAATTTACATCCTGACTGATATACATACCTGCTTGGGACCTGGTTTCATTCCTACTCTTGGCTTGCATTAAAACAGCTCTGTGTCTTTATAATTGACTCCCTTTCTGCTCAGATTGGGTTTTTGTTACATAAGCAAGGAAGTGAGTCACAAATTTTTTGGCTTCCCAGTGTGTATAAATGTTATGTATATACTATACTGTAGTCCATTAAGTTGTGGTAGGATTATTTCTAAAAAAATGCACATACCTTAATTAAAAAATATATTATTGGCAAAAAGTGCTAATAATCATCTGGGCCTTCAGCAAGTCATAATCTTTTTGCTGGTGGAGAGTCTTGGCTTGATGTTGATGGCTACTGGGTGTCACCTTCAGGTTGGTGGTGACTGAAGGTTGGGATAACTGTGGCAATTTCTTTTTGTTAACCTAAAAAAATAGGTGCATAATAATTTTATATATTTATATACAGATTTATGGGGTGCATATAATATTTTGATACATTCATAAAATGTGTAATCATCAAATCAGAGTATTTAAGATAGCGCTCACCTTGAACATTTATCATTTCTTTCTATTGGGAACATTTCAAATCTTCTGGCTATTTTGAAATATAAAATATATTGTTGTAACTGTCGTCACCCTACTGTGCTATTGAACTCTAGAACTTATTCATTCTATCTAACTGTATGTTTATACCCATTAATCTACCTTTCTTCAATACCACCCCCCACACTGCCACTAGTAATCACCATTCTACTCTCTACCTCTGTGAGATCCACTTTTTTAGTTCTCACATGTAAGTAAGAACATAGGATATTTGTCTTTCAGTGCCTAGCTTATTTAATTTAACATAGTGACCTCCAGTTTTATTTATGTTGCTACAAGTGACAGGATTTGATTCTTTTTTATGGGTAGATAGTATTCCATTGTGTGTGTGTGTGTGTGTGTGTGTGTGTATGTGTGTGTATATGACCTCTTATTTAATTTACATCCTGATTGATATGCATACCTGCTTGGGACCTGGTGTCCCAAGCACACACATACACACACATACACACACACACACATCACATACTCTTTCTTTTTTTTTAGAGACCGTATTGTTGCTGTGTTGCTCAGGATAGCCTTGAACTCCTGGGCTCAAACAGTCCTCCTGCCTCAGCCTTCCAAGTAGCTAGGACTTTAGGTATGGTAGCATCTGGTTTATACCATATTTTCTAGTCCATTTGTCCAGTGTTGAACACTTAGGTTGATTCTGTATCTTGGTTATTGTGAATAGTACTTTAATACATATGCAGGTATCCCTTTGATATACTGATTTTCTTTCCTTTGGATAACTATCAGTAGTGGGATTGCTGGATCATATGGTAGCTTTATTTTCAGTTTTTATTTTTTTAGGGAGATAGAGTCTTGGAATGTTGCCCAGGCTAGTCTTGAACTCTTGGTCTCAAGCAATCTTCCCACTTCATCCTCTTGAGTAGCTGGGACTACAGATGCATGCCACTATGCCTGGCTTATTTTTAGTTTTTTTGAGAAATCTCTGCACTGGTTTTCATAATAGCTGTACTAATTTACATTCCATCAACAGTGTGTAAGAGTTCTCTTTTCTCCACATCCTCTCCATCATTTGTTATTTTTTTTCTTTTGTCTTTTTGCTACTGGCCATTCTAACTGTGGTGAGATGATATCACATTGTGCTTTTGATTTGCATTTCCCTGATTTGTGATGTTGAGCATTTTAAAATATACTTGTTGGCCATTTGTATGTCTTCTTTTGAGAAATATCTACTTATGTCCTTTGCCTACGTTTTATTGGGATCACTTGGGTGTTTTTTTGCTGTTGAGTTGTTTGAGTTCCTTGTATATTCTGCATGTTAGTCCCTGTTTGATGAATAGTTTGTAAATTTTTTCTCCCATTCTACAGGTTTTCTCTTCACTCTGTTGATTGTTTCCTTGGTTGGGCAGAAGCTATATAGTTTAATATAGACCCTTGGTTTATATTTGTTTTTGTTGCCTGTGCTTTTGAGGTTTTAGCCATAAAATCTTTGCCTAGATCAGTGTCCTGAAGGATTTCCCATATGTTTTTTTCTATTAGTTTTATACTTTCAAGTCTTATGTTTGAGTCTTTAATCCATCCTTAGTTTATTTTTTAATACACTAAGAGATAGGGGTCTACTTTCATTCTTCTATATATGAATAGAATTTCTTAAGATGACAGTGATGAATTTTGCTGCATCTGTTGACTCTTCCTTTCATGAAAGATTTCTCTGTACCATGCCATGCCTTTTGATACTATTTATGTAATATTCTAAATCCTTTGTTTTCATTTTATAATGAACCTCTCAAAGTCATCCACGAGGATTGGAATAAACTTCTTCCAAATTCCTGTTGATGTTGACATTTTGACCTACTCCCATGAATCCCAGATGTTTCTAATGGCACCTCTTTTTATATTGAATACTTTTTTCAGAAGATTTCAATATAATCTGCCCAAATCCATATCTATGGCAGCTATTGCCTTATGAAATGTATTTCTTAAATAATAAGACTTGAAAGTAAAAATTACTTCTTGATCTATGGGCTACAGAATAGATGTTGTGTTACCAGGCATGAAAACAACATTAATCTCCTTATACATTTCAGAGCTCTTGGGTGACCAAGTAC